GTTGAAAGCCATTGCATGTTATTTTTCGATAATAATTAAGCTGTTCCTATAAGTACGTAAAACTTCCACGCGAAGTGCAAATCGTATTTGTTGTCGAGTTAAAGCGTGAAATGAACTTTGCTGCGTATAAATTGAAACTAATGCCGAGCGTATGGATCAGTTGCGACCTTCGAAACTTCGTACGCGCGTAAATGAGGGCCCGCAAATTGTAGTTTCACTCTTAGTTCGCTAAAATACGAGTCAGATTCTATTTGTTAACGGTTAGTGAGAAAGCGCTGATATAGCCATTACACTGATTCAAGTGTGTGTATATGAGTATTGTACAACATTGCACAAATCATTCATCTCATTAACTGTGTAACGCCATTTCTCAGACAGTAGCAAAATAGTCCAAGTCAAGAGTGGTAGAGTTTTACGAGACTATTAATTTTTGGTTGTTAACGATATGCAATTGAAACAGCGGCGAATTAAAAAACAAGCGCAATAGTCATAAATCGGTATTAAAAGGAACGAGTGAGCAACGACCGGAAAAAACTAAACAGTAGCGGCTGAGAGAGCTTAAAACAGCCGCGGTGAATTAGCATGTGATATGTCAAACCTCGCGACTCCCTGCGAAAGTATAGTAATCGTTAATTTTTCCCATCGAATTACGAAACAACTCTCGCGCAAGCGAGCCGCGCTGCCACTTTAGATGCGCCATTTTTCTAACAATAATTATTAGAGTTTAATTCTCAAGGCTGCTTCTACTATAATAATCGTCTGATGCTACATCACTCGGACAATTAATCAAAGTGCCATATAAGCGCTCCACTGCGATGATTACACATGGGTATAGTAAGAATGAGATTAAATAAAAAAAAGGAAAACTACATTGAGGACGTTCTCTTGGAAAGCCCAACTTAGATTTTTTATCATAAAAATAGTTATTAGAACATGATTTATGTGCACGGAAATAGTGAAAAAAATTGATAAAATCATATTAGTTCATAAATTTCTGTACATACTGTACTGCTATATAGATATACTATTAGCATGATAAGAGAAATTGCAATAGCTGTAACTTATCTATGAATACCGGTATCTATATTGTTTATTATTTTAATAGGTTTCAAATGATTTTTGAAAAAACTCTAAAGGAAATTAAGTTTACAATCGAACGAAATGTCATGAAAATTAATTTAACCTATCTGACGTTTTTAAATATCTGTCATGTTTTTTTCGGTAATGAAAAAAAGTAACTTATTTTAAAAGTTTGTGGGAAATATAAAGAAAAGTAATTTTAAAGAGAACATCTTTAAATTAAATTTACGTGCCTTGTAATATCAGCAGCATCGCAAGCGCGCGCACTGGAATAACAAGGTCGCGCGAAAATTTTCGAACGCGGATCATTGCAACAAGCATGACTTTGCATTCTACTATACGTAACCAGCATTCGATACGAAAATTTCACCATCGTTCTTCAAAAACTTAGAAATTCCAAGTCATTTATCACTCATCGTGTTAATACAATTCGAACGAGAAAAAGTTATGACGTTGGCGATTAAAAGAATTCTTGTACACGACGTTTTCCCTGAAAAAAAGGAAGCTTAATCGTAAAAGCAACGCACACAAGATCAATTTCATTCGTATTCATGAATAATAGAGTCGACTCTCTGCAGCAGCATACAGTTTTCCAGGAGCGCATCGAAGCGGAATTACATAAAGCTGATCTCCGGTGCTTGTTTGCCCGAGTATTCTTTTGAAGTACTCACAGACGATGAGTTGATAGGATGTCATTTCGCCAGCTGTCGTGGGTGCACATGTTTCTTTCGAGGATCCCCGGGGATGTGGACACGCGTATACAGTCTGCGATGAGTTTTTAAACGCAATAATTTGCATGACCGGAGAGAAAGAGGAAAACGCACGCGGCACTAAAGTAGAATTTTATCCTGGTAAAATATAAGTTACTTGGTTGAAAAAAGCTATATTCTTATTGTAATTGAAGTTTCCTTCACTAGAATAACCGAAGCATGAAAATGAAGGTATCGATATGGTAAGTAAATTAATATCGATCGAAGAGTAAAAAATCCGATTAATATGATGATTGCGTGTTGGTGATTAAAGGCGAATGAAATGTTGGTGCAAATCTAAGCGCATTATTACGCGAACAATTCTCGGCAGGGTTAACAAAAGGAAGAGTTCTAGATTATGCATTCGAAAAAAATAAATAAATAAAATCACACGTGGCAGCACGTACATCTCATTCAGTGATATATCTTGGCACTCGCGACTGTGCGCCTCGTTCTTTTCTTACTTCTTCTTCTTCTTCCCTACTTGTGGTTCGCCGTGAAATTAAAGCAATCACTGTAATAATCTTTCAATCACGTGAAAATATGGTAGCCAAAATGTAACCGAACGAATACGTCGGTGCCAGCTCGCAGCTAATCAAACGCTTTTTCATTCAAACGACAATGCTAATGAAGAAGGAAAAAAATAATAGCCCTGATTTCCGTTCCCGCTTGCTGGTTATTATTATCATTGTTATCGCAAGTGTGCGATGATTCAAATTCAAAGCCAGAGAGATATTGTACTATGTATTTCGGGCATGATTGACTTTTATTTCCGCTTCGGCATATTTCGATATACGTATAATAGTTTTCTTGTGAGAATTTTTTTTCTTCTTCGATAGAACTTGGATGTTGCTGTGACCCGTATAAGCCTACCATTGATAATGATGTTCTTGAACTTGAAATTGTTATTTTAACTGTAGTTGACGTCTGACAAGTAGTTGTCACGATGAAAAAATAAAAGGTAAACGATCGATAAGTTTTTAATTGAAAGAGACTATTGTTTTTATTTTTCGCTATAATATCAATAGAGAAATTACAAACTTTATTAATACGGTAATTGGATAGGAGAGATGTTTTTTATTGATTTAGCGAACTATCAGTAAGACACATTGCGCAATACGTGTTGAGATCACCGAAAAATGACAGAGATATACTCTTATCATTTTTTATACCGGTTTGTTATATAACTAAATTTTATACAAAATATTAATACGTGACATACAGTAAATAAAGAAAATAAAGATAAACGACGTTTCGAGTGTCTAAGCACCAGTAAACGAACAAAGATTGAGTCATTTATTTCTAGATTATTGTCTTTTAAGCTTTCTGCTAATCCCTTTACGGCAGATCGGAATAGAAACGCGAGTAGAATGTGATCGGTCAGACTTGCCGCGAATACTTTCTTTGTGTACAGTATACACCGGCAATATATACTCGTTTATATTTTATCGTGTAATTTCGTCAACTCATATACGAGTATATTTCACTTATATAGACTCGATATTAAATTCAATGTACCAGGTCGTTCAAGATAAAAAAAGGCCGGAGAAACCCAAACACATTACTAAAAAAATATTGTTTATCTCGTCAAGCACTAACGAGTGTTTTTTTTCCTAAAACGCACGTTTGCGCTCTCCTCGTTCGTTTATACGCAAGCGGCATTATGATAAATGAGTTCACATTGTATTATAGCTTCGCGCGCATTCAGCGGTCGTTGTTATGTGTATAAATATGTGTGTGTACACGGCAAAGCGGCATGAAATATACACAAGTTCCTAGCGACACGCGCGTGAACGTGGTACATTACCTGTAAAGCTTTACAAAGAAATATAAGTGCGCCGATGAGTTGTCGAGGTGGAGGATTTTCAATTGATCGATCATCTCTGGATTTGGAATATGCCTGAGCAGCCCGAAGAATTAATAGTCTTTGTCCGACTGGTTGCCCAGTGCGTCAAAGTGTCGCGGACGCGTTCGCACGAGACACGGAAAGAAAAGATGATAATCGGCGACGTGTTCCGCCGCTACATGTACCGCGTGCATATCTACGATCATCATAATCCTCCGACCACCGCGAACAAAACATATTGTCGAGGCGGGCACACGACGAAGCACGTGCACTCCTATATGTTTCGTGAGTCCGCGACAAAAATTGACATTTTGCACCAAAAAGAACTATTTTGCCGTTACATTCAACGGCAAATCTTCTTATACGAAAAGGATTCCTGTTGTTTTCAAAAGGATTGGTTTTTCAATGTAGTACGAACGATTTACATACGAGACATGGAATAAAAAACCCAATTTGCGTTGCTCAGACAGTCATTGACAAACAAATGGTAGCGTGATCGGTCTTGAACATCCAGTTTCATTAGATCTGTTTCCGGCGGGATCTAGCTTTCTTCAATCGAACTTGTGGTGTCATGTGCATGTGCTATAATTGTGTATTCAGAGTCAAATGTATTATCATTTTCTTTAGTGGTCTTTCGCTTTAATTGACATAATCGGTCGTTCCGTGAATTTCTTTTTACATCGCACGCATAATCGCTTCACGTGTTTCTTCGTTTCTTATGCTATAATATTATGCACCAAAAGTGTTTTTCCGTTGAGCTCATGTGCCTCGTACGAACGCGGCCGCAACTTCACGAGACTTGATATTTACGAGCGCAATAAACATGTTAAGTATGTGTATACACAAAGCGACACACAAAAAAACAGGCTCATCGCGAGTCGAATTTGAATTTCCTGCCCCCGTCCCCACCTGCAATATGTGCGGTCGTCACTTTAAACTTGTTTTTCGTGAACTATATATAAGAAAATTCATACCGTAAGTTAATTTTCAGTCGCATGAGTCACGTTTATTTACAATTGTTAAAAATAAATTTATTTTGGAGAATCTGGAGATACTAGTTTTTCTTCGGGAAGTGATCTATATACGGAATAATGAAAACATTTCAATTTTGAAGGAATCAAGATTTACAAAATAAACTGTTTCAATTTGAATGCGTAACAGTGATACGAAAAAAATTTACACATACAGGAAGAATTCCATCATATCAACTTTTTTATCGCGGGATGAAAAAAAATAAGAATGCAACAAGAAAATCATGTTCTATTTGTGTATCGATAGAATATCCCACGGGCATATATCTAATTCGCATGTTTATCTCATTGCAGTCGCTGTGGTCGTGGCATTCTTCATCTGCTGGGCTCCATTCCACATGCAACGACTAATTGCCATCTATGGAAAGAGAGAGCATCATGTACCTGGTGGCAGCAATTGGTTTGAGAAGCTCTATGTCATTTTCACATATGTCTCGGGGGTGCTTTACTACTTTTCGACAACGATCAATCCAATCTTGTACCACATTATGTCGAATAAATTTCGGGAAGCTTTCATGGTAAGTTAAAGATTTATTTTTATTTCTGCGCGTTTATCTTCAACGAGTCGAAAATTATACTGTAAAGTTTTTGCTCAGACTGGTTTATAAGCTGCAAGTATATTGAAATTTGTATGAAATTCGTGAAATTTTAAATCATCATAACAAGGGAAATTATACACGTGTCAGATATTGCCATGAACTTGAGCGAACGATGAGACGCGAAAAATTTGTTGCAGTTGAATCAAACGCGAACAATTCACGCAGTGCGTATTTATTGTCGTAAAACTTTGCAGGAGACATTAGCGAAAAGCTGCAGATTGTCGAGGCTTGTGGTACCGCACGAGAGACGCTCATACTCGTCATTGTCGCGCTCCCAACCACGGCATCCCGGCAACTATCCATCGAAAACCACTGGGATCAGCAATGCTACTGGTTTAGCACAGGTAAGTTTTTCCTTTTGTTCATTTAACAATTCCACAAGAGATTTTATTTTTTCGAATGCTATTGCGGATGCCAAGCGCACACTACGGCACATTGTTGCGTAAGATATTACTGCATCTGATTATACATCAAAATCCATTATGTAAGGCTCTATTATTGTTTAGACTTTTTGACTATTTGACAAGTCGCCTCTTCTTATTTCTTCATGTCGATTGACCGCGCTATTATTAGATAATTAGTTTTATTTGCGTTACGTCAAATTTTTCTGATTAAATCCAGATAGTATACTGCATTAAATTCTGCGTGAATCAGATGTTTGAAGGAATTCGCATGCGTCTGTTAAAATTAGAGATTTATGCTACACCGCTGACACCATCATCATTCCCAATAAAACTTGTCAGACGAGTACAACGTCACGCCGAAATAGCAACCGGTCGATCAACAGCCAAGCGCGAAAACAAACAAACAAACAAACACCAACGTGCGGAGTGACGATCGCATCTATATTTTCCATCTGATCGATAACTGCTACTGATGTGGCATTAGTGTTATTACCCACACCCACGTAATAACAAGGCCATTTTCCGATGTGCATTTGCAGGATAGTACCGACTGCTCTGGAAATTCATTCCGAGAAGAGACGCAAGCAAACGGTGCTGTGGTGGATTACTCTACCTCGGAGTCAGCGCCGATTTATGGTAGACGTGGTGTACTCACTATCGATGTCGATGATAGTGGTCCTCAGTCAATTGTACCATTTCAATCGAAAGGATGCTCAGGACCCTTGATGACGCATTTCATCGATTTACCACAGGCTCGAAACGAACTTGCTAGAGAATTGCCGTCGCCTGGCTACGAGCAGTGCATCCGGGTAAGCTTTTAATTCTCTTTTAATTAGAGGGAACTATTCTAATTCAATATTTTATTGATTTGGAATGGACAAATGATTTTATTTGATAGCTGATTTTTTATCATTACGAATAAATGCTACAATTTAAATTTACAATTTAAGTGAATTTTAACTTAATTGAGTTGAATTGGATAATCGTAACTTATTAGATTTAACTGTATCAAGATATTTTTAAATTAAAAAGTTGTCTTGTACGAGAAACATAATAAATTAGGTTACTGGTTACACAATATAAAAATTTTTGGAAAATGTTGATTTTTACATTGTATTTATTACAAATACAACGATTATTTTATAATTAGTAATTGTATAAATTTTCTAATTAATAATTAACAATTAATAAATTTATAAATCAAATAATTAACTAATAAAAATGAACATTTCTTTTTTAATGAGATTTAATGAGATATCTTACATTAACTGAAAAATAACACGTTTCCTGAAACAACCTTCGATTTTTCACTCGTAATCACCGAGAATTGCACGAAGAATACCTATAATTCATTGATAGATGCAAAAAAATGTCAGTACAACTTATCAACAATTAGGGACATAGTAAACAGATATTAAGTATAAAAATAATCAACCAAAACAAACGTAAATCGTAAATCAAACGCACAGGCCTCGCTCCACAATCGCTTTTCATCTTGAACTATTTTCATCACTGACATTATCAATCAGAAAAATGAAATTACGTTGTTACGATTACAGATGCAAGGTTCATCCGGACGAACGGTGCAGCATTGCAACGTTATCAATTGCCGAAGTAATACAAACTCAAAGAAGAGATGGTGGCGTTTACTGGACTGGTTGCCAGGTCTCAAGAACTTGCGAACGTCACGACTTGTGAATCGATCCAGTCAGAACATAATTGTCGATATACCTAAACCACAAGACGATTGCTTTTTGCAACTGCATACCTTTGGTATCAAGGACGATAGCTGTAGACCCGTATGATGGAGGCAGAATCTCGCTTCGTCCTGGCCATCGATCAACGAAACAACTGCCACCTGATCCACGACTTCGTTAAAAGTTCTATACGATTGAAAACGTGGCTCAACGAAAATTATTACTATCATCGCCACATGATCTTTTCATATTTCGATATCCGGTTGATTTCCTATGTTTGAGCGAATAATATTTACTTGACGCTTCAAAGTAGCTAAAATTTCAGTCAGACTTGTCGTGTTTATAATGTAAGATTCCTTTATTATTCATCAAAACTTTGAATGACTGAAAAAACTTTTCTATATCTTAATTTGTACCTTTAAGTTTTTTTCATCGGCTAAACATTTTTAATCGCCACAATCACTGTTGGTTTTTATTGTGTTCGATTAGATATACTTGTAAATAAATATTTAGATCACCAATTTTCCAGAGATGAAGAATGACAATAAGCTTTTTTTAAGATCATACGAACGGAGGAATTAAAATTGTTCCTTGCTTATATTTTGAATTGCCGTATTATGCTAGTCGATTAATATGTTTCAATTACCAATGATTGCTTCATTTATTTCAAAGAAAGTAGAATGTTTATGCTTTATCTTTATATAACTGGTAGTTCATAAAGTTCAAGTTGATAAAAAAACTATGCGTATTTCGTAAATAAATCAATATTTATTGAATTAGTATATTTCGATACTAGCGCGAGAGAGTAATTTCAGTCTCGTGCGGACATTTGCGCTCGAACGATGAGAGGACGGAAAGGCTACACGAGCCTGAAATTACCTTTCGACAAACCGTGCGTAGAGACTCGACTTTACGTACGCTAAAAGAATCGAGCATGCTGAAAATCTCGTCCTACTCACGTCGTATTAAAACCTAAAGTTAGATACATATGCGTGGATAGTACATTTCGCGTGCATAAAGTTGAGTCTCCGCGCACGGAGTGTCGAAAGATATTTTGAACCCATTCAAAATACTACAAAGTTTTCGAATTTAACATATGTATAATTGTTCTATACGATATTGAACGTGTACATACAAGGATAAGAAAAAATAATTTGTTTTAAATTTTTACATCTAAAATTGTTTACTGTTTAAATGAAAATAAGCTTGAATAATAATATAATACATCAATGATGTACAAACGTGTGAAAAGATCTTAAATGGAAGTTACTTTTTTATAAAGAGAAATCACTACGTATTTTCTGGAATAAAATAATTTTTCATATACTAAATGACTGTCTCAAAAGACAAAAAACAATTGCAAGACGAACCACAATCAAAATTGAATTTACGTATTCACCACCAATTCAACTTTCATATCGCATTGTTTAATACAAATTCAATAAAGGTATAAACTGGTGCATCGCAAGAATGTTGCATGAATACGAAATAACTGATTTTAAAACTGTGATATTTTCTGTTACACTACTAGTATGTAAGCTATAAAAAAACGATGTGTTGAAAAGTGTTAAAAATTCTAACTTTTATCGTACAGTTACATGTATAATAATATAAGTAAAAGACACAGCGTAAATCAATATATTTTATCTTTAGATTTTACGAATAAAATATGTTATCATTATTATAACAGGAATAATTTTCTTCAATAAATGATTTTATGTATAAATTTTTACATTTTATAAATACCTGTAACCATATGGTATCTAATTTTTATTTCCAGTTTAGCGTTGAAAAATAGTCAAAAACTTTCCTGACGTTGGAAAATTTGATTTCAGTCATAAGTTCATTCAATAAGTAAATAAATAAATATTGGCAAAAGATGGAAAGTTTCACATCCTCTTATAGTTAACGAATATCATTTTTTTTGATTGATCTTGTTATAACTACTTTTTCATAAAGCTACATATTACTGTTTCTACAATTCATATAAAATTAATCATAAAAATAAGAGTTTGATAGTTTACTTTCTTGAGTTATTAATTCATTTAAATTACTAATTTAATAATAAATGGTATTCAATAATTGATCTAATTAAATTTAGGTATCAAAATTAAATTTTGTTTCAGGTTTGTTGTTTGCTAATAATAAAAATGATTCTTATTTTTGCTTAAAACTGTTTCAGTTTCATTGTTTATTTTTGGTTTCACACTAACCAAAAGCTAAGATAAACAATTTCAATGCATTATACAATTTTCTAAAAACCAAGTCTAATTACATTTTTTTAACAATTTGTAAGAACTTATTATTTATTAATTTAATTTATACTAAAAAATAATAACACAAAGCGATGTAGATTAATAATACTGATAAATAATTATTTTTATTGGTTTTTTTTTTATTTATACATGTTGCTATTAATAAATTAGTTCTAAATAGTATAATGCTATATTCCTTAAATCACATAAACATTCATGTGCGCATTTTTCGATTTATATTTATAAATTTTTCGTAATGGTAGAAAATGCATTATTGAAAACGCACGCATTGTGAATTAAAATTTAACATTTTATGAACGATAACTAGGTTTCATAAATCATTTACATACATATACGTAGACTTAAAATTAATAACAATAAAATACAATTTTATATAAAAAGCAATTCCAAATGGCGCCATTTGGAAAGGACGAAATTTTGTTAAATGGTGCCACTCATGTGGCGTGTGATATTGACGTACAACCTAGTTTGTCAATATAGTCGGAATTCTGAATACTTTAGCAATTGGCAGAGATCCGTACTCATTGAATTTCCAAATACTCAATAAAAAGCTAACGATTATTCCTGGAGCTTAGATGCGAATTCACCGCTCTAATGAATCTGATTATTCATTTAGTAACAGAGAATTCCAAACATCTAAGAAATACAATCTCAGAAGTGTGAATGCCTCAGAGAGCTTATAATTGACTCCGAACGGCACAAATCACCTGATATTAGCTCTTGTGGCTGCTCTGACTGCTATCAGTTCATTAATCAATTAGGATGTTTTACAATCATCAAAATTAATCTATCTAAATAATTCACTCAATATCAACTGGTGCTAAGCCGAATTATGATCCAAGTAATTTATAGTTATGTTAATAATTTAGGAGAAGAATGGTTAATATATTTTCGAGAATGTATAATAAAATTTAATGAATATACACAAAGAGTAAGTAAAAATGATTATGTTAATAATAAGATACTTCAATGTATGATAAATATAAGAAGGTTGATTTATTTATATTTTTTGAAAAATATAATTAAAATAAATGAAGATCAGTATGATATGAATAAGTCTGTTAGCATAATTATTGATATGTCCAATCTTTATAACATAAATTTCTATATTGAATAAAAGAATTCAATTTCCTAAACATGTATTATACGCTATATTATAAAGGGACATCTACTGGAAAATGGAGATTTAACCAAGCAAATTGAGTTAAATACTAACAAATCAAAGAAGAAAACATAAATCAAATAAATAACTATATAGATGAAAATGTAAGCACTAACGAAATTTTAATTTATATTACAATATATAAACTTATGGACTTAATCACTAAAGTAGCTAATGAATGTATACCGAAGTCAAAAGGAAAAAAAAAAACAAGAATACCAAACTGTATGGTGGAATAAAGAATGTAAAATAGTGATAAAAAATTCCAAAAAAACTTTTAACTGATACAAGAGAAAAATTACGGAACCTAATAAATCCATAGCAAAGATCTTAACAAAAACACTAGCAGCCAACTCAAGTAACGAAAATTTCTTGGACGAATTACTTCAATTTAAAAATTACTCACAAACACATGCTAAACAGACAACCAACCTGAATGTACGATATACCTATCTCCTATTTCAATAAAACATATCCTCATAAACTGCCCCAAATACTATAATGAACGAATTAAATATAAGCTGAAACTAAATCTATATGAAATACTAACTTCCAAAGAAAATGCAGAAAAGTAATCGACTTCATTAAGAAATAGAAATTAAGATTTAACTTAAATACTTTATATATATATATATATATATGTACAAATGAAATGTAAATTTTATATTATCAAAACCTAAGCCTAGATGTATAAAAAATGTATATTGATATGTTGCTAATGCCTATAAGGGGATGCGACCTTAAATAAATTAAAGAAAAAAAAAGAACAATTGAAAAAAATTTTAATATCATTGAATTTAGTTGAATTAGATAAATTCATTTATATATTTTTAATCCAAAATTAATCTTTTAAAATAAGATAAACAATGAAAGAATTATTATAATTTTAATTTTTAACAATTTGTAAAAAGATTATTTTTCTTTTTATAAAATTATCAGTGTAAAATATATATATATATATATATATATATATATATATATATATGCATAATTTACCTATGTACATATTTTACCTTGTAAAATATGCTAAAGTGTAAAGTTCATAATAGAAAATACTAATCTCAAATTAGATAACTACTATAAAAATGTATTATAAATTATGTATTAAAGCGATATTTTTCGAGTTACGAGAACAATATATCTTTTTAAGTGAGTGAAATTTAGATATTTTGAGTTCTTCCAAAATAATTAAAAGTTAGAAAAACGATAACAAAACTTCATTTAAATTAAGATATTTAAAAATGTTTGCTCAATCAATAGAATTTGTTTTAAGAGAAAGTATATACGACGGTAACGAAAACTTTTGAGTCGACGTTCCATTTTATAAAAAGTAAAAATGTTCGATTCCAGTCAAATGATTATGGCATACTTTCTAAACACTGCTTAATATGCTGCCAAGCTTGCAGACCCTGAAAAATAATTGAAAGTTTTTCTATAAGTTCCCATAAGCACACGAGTCCTTAACTTAAAAATAATATTCACCAACATAGTGATGTAATAAAATGCTTACTTTTCTAGCAAGTTTAAACTGAAGGACACAATATGCCGTCAACGTTTCTCGTAGGTCAATCACTTTCTGTACTTGAAAACGCTCAATGTCTTCCATTGCTTTCTCAGAAAATAATCTATAATGGAAATAATTAGTATTTCAGTCAATTGCCAGAGTATGATTTTGATGGTTATATGTAAATACTCACACTAATTCTTGGTCACTTTGCCTGACTACCTCTTCACCTTGATTAATTTTTTGATCAATCTGCAATATTTTTAATTCTCGAACTTCTTCAGTATCGACAGAACCAAATAATCTTGACATGAGTCCGGATTTTCCTATGATACATGTGTTATATATTATATTGTACAATTATTTATCTTTATACAAAACTTATTTTAAAGAATCAAAATAAGTAAGTTAATTAATAAATATTAAATGGTGCTTTCATTTTAACAAAATTTCATATTTATTACGTAATTAATTAATATTTTATAAAAGTGCCTTTAAGCCAGATTTTCATGGCATGCCTTACCTTGAACAACTTTTTCTTTCTGTTCTTGTAATGCTGCGAGATTGTCAAAAGCTTCTTCTTTGCTAAGCTGTAATGCTTCACGCCTTTTTACTACTGATTGTAATGCAGATGACGCAAATAACCATTCCTTTAATTGATCTGCTATTAGTTCTTCTTCCTCCAGAGTTGCATCAATTGCAGCAGCAAGTGAGTCCAAATAATGACCAGATTTCTTGAAACAATCATTCTCTTATTTTTTTCGTCAAATAGACAACGAAAAAATCATTTAAAATCATTTTACTGAATTATATACCTGTAGACCATCTCCCATTTCACGCTCAATTGCACTCCATTCACTGAACACGCGTCCATAGTTTGCATGCAACTTATAAAGACTATATTGTTTTTCAGCTAATCTGGCACGAACACGGAGAAGATTGTTTAAATTGTTCTGAAATTAAATTATATTAATTTTACTTAAGAATTTGAAAGTTAAAAATACCACTCAATCAACCTGTAATTCTATGCCATAAATTTTTATAGTCTCAAAACGTTTGTCTGGTTTACGTAAACGAACTGCCACACTTAAAGCTTTCAATTTTGATTCAGCAAGTTGCAAATATCCTATTGTAATAAAAAACATGCACACTATTCATTACTGTATTCTGACTTTAATAAAATTTTAGAGTTGCTCATACCGGATTCTTTTATACTTTCTCTCCAGCCATCTTTTTGTTGTAAAAAACCTATGAAATGTTTGTCAAATGACAAAACTGGATGAGATGATACACGAAGTAGAAAGTTCTGGAATAATAATTGTATAATATTAGATTAATAAATATCAGAGAAACATGAGTTGTAAAACATACTTCTAAACCTGCTCGTCGACGATCAACAAAGTCTGGATCAAAAGTATCAGTAGTCACTTTCTGCCAAGCATACAAGACTTTTTTTTCAGGTAATGGTGGCAGAACAATGAAAGGATATGAGATTTCTAAATAAGCTCTCAATAATTCAAATTCAGTATAGCGACGCCACAAGGAACTAACATTTGTAAGAGCATCCTTAAAGTCAGGATCTATAACTCTATTGTTAAAAGACAAGGTTAGCATGAAAACAAAAAGGATTTGGAGTAATTTATTAGCAAGATTAGATAAATATACTTGGTTTCTATGAGATATACTGTATAAAATTCTTTTATATTTAGTGCGCCATTAGCTCTTTTTTCTGCTTCAACTATTGTTATTTCCATGTGATCAAGCAATGTGTCCTATAATTATTTAAAAATCACAATATTTACTAATTACTGTTTGTAAATAAAATATGTGTAACATTTTTCTAATAACAATGAAGTATTCAATGAAATAACATTTTATGAAGACTTAAAATATAAAACATATTTTAATAAACTTACTTGTTTTTGTCTTTCAGCTGCAGGAACCACAATACTATTTGCAGAAGCTGCAACTTGGCTATTTCCATTTTTAACATTGTCCTCCATTGCAATTAAGACTACTAACTAACTTTTTCTTAACTTTTACCAGAAAGTTAATGTATGAAGAATTTGAAAATTTAAATATTGTAATACTGTTATTGCTATTAGTCAAAGATCAGTAGTTATTATCTGAATCGACTACTGAATCAATAAAGACTATAGCAAAATTCGTAATGTTGTGAGTGAGGGTTAGTGACATTAAAACATTAAAGATGGAATCCGCCTATTAGTATGTACTCTATATATATATTGGCTGAAGTCGGAAATATAGAGCGCTTTTTTTATAGTAGTAAATTTTTTTAATTTCAAGTATATTAATGCATAATGTTATAATAAGAATTTCAAATTTGAGAAAGTAATAGATATAACAAATTTTTTGATCATATAAATAATATTTTATTGACAATATTTTTGAGAAACTATATTAATGTATAATATTAGAAGAAAATCCACAGCAAACTATGATATCATCACGGTACATTTTTAAAGCAATATATAAAACATGGCTAGAATAGAAAAAGAGGGTGGGAGAAAGAGAGACGGAGAGAGAGAGAGAGAGGCAGAAACCAGAATAATTACAATTGTTTATTTTTGCATTTACAAGAAAATATAGAATGAATTCATTAGTGTGCAACGACTTATTTGATAGGTAATTAAAAATGGTATCAAAGTATGCATACCTACATATTGTATATGAAAAAATAATATTATTATTTGTATTTAAAAAAACAACATTTAAATTCAACAATATTTTAAATGGCGCCAAAAATGTTATTCTTTATGTTATTGTTAAAATGCTCTTGTATAGTATTCCATTATCAAAAGTCGTTAAAGATGTTTTCGATTCCGTAAAAGTATCTAAAAATTTGCCTAGACTAATGATAAGATCAAATATATGTAATCTGGTTGCCATAAAGTTTCATCGATGCAGCGTTACGGTTATAGACAATATATCATTTATAAATATAGGAGATAAAATTTGATAAATTAATTATCTCCTACAAAGTAATTGTCATTAAAAAAATAGTAATATACCGTAGAAATCTACTTAGACACTTACTAAAATAGTGTGATTCTCAATTTTTTTTTGGATTACTGATTTGATTATAATTTTTAGGTACCAATCACATAAAAATAATAAAAAACTTCAACCGTTCGAGTACTCATCATATTTAATTTTTCTATAGTTACAGGCTACTGTACTATCTGACCGATTTTTATCAGTGAAAATAGTTTAAGGAATAAGGAGCTTAAATAATTCTATCTCCTCCACTATTTTATTTTATTCTATCTTTAAAAAATGACGATTTTTGGACATCCAGTGTGATTTGTTGATACTAAAAAAAGCGCGAAATTTTGAATTTTCGAGTATACTTGGAAACATGTATCTAGGAGTGTAAGATGTATATTCCATCAGTAAATTTAATATAAATAAAAAGGATAAAAAGGAAGGAAATATTTTTTTACCTTTGGTAGATTGTAATTTAAGAAGTATGTGGGCAACGCAATCTAATTATCAAAATATTAAACACGTTAAATTTGATGGTTAATCGGTTTTTGTGAAAAAATGGATTCAAATTTTGCATATAATGTAGTTTTTAAATATATTCGATTTATTGATGCATATATATCATTATAATCTTGAATTTATCATGTAAAAGCTTAATATAATGTAATTAACAACAGAAAAACGTAAAATAAAGATCGCGATAGGCGCGTTAAATAACGTTAGTATTATTAAATGGAAACTGAGATCTAATTCTTCATGCAAATTAAAAAATTAAACGACAATAGAATTTCATTGCAATTAGCCAATTCTTTCCAATGGCGTTTTATTAAAGTAACTACAAAACTCAAAGTTGAAAACTAAAAATAGGATTCATCAATTAGAAAGTTCTTAGGCTTTAATGATGAAGAAAATTAATGTTCTTAAATTATAAAAATGTCCATCTATCTTTAATTAGTTACAAGATCTTACAAGTCTCTATATCATATAATTATAGTTATATCTTTCTTTATCTGGAAAACTCAAGGGAAAACCTCTAAAAATTATGCCGAATCACCGATAAGCCAATTCATTAAACACAAGAAGACTTTCCTTCAATGTCTTTGGAAAGCTGATACTAAATTCAAAAATTATGATTTCAAGTTTCGTATACATAAAAAACGATGTACTAGTAATAATGCTTTTAGGTATGCATTATTTTATAAAGTAAATAATGTTTAGAACTATAATATCGTGACAATATTATTTAATACCAAGTATTGACTATTATCATGAAAAACTAGAAGAATCGTTTAAATATATAGATAATCTTAACAAGTTAAGCAATGAACAATAAACAATTTTCTTTAGAATAAAAAATGTTTAGAATAGATCTACACATAATTTAAAGACTAAAACCACTTGTTGAATGGTAAGCACTAATTTTATAGAAATACTGTAATGGGTTGACTGAAAAAGAATAATATTATTATTACTTTGAAAAGTAAAGTTCTTGATTGAATATGATTGGTTCAAATTACATTAGAAGTTTCTGAAAAGAATCGCAATGAAAATGCAGACGAAACAGATGTCAGATATTCGAATGTATTGTTCGATATTATTAACTTAGAATTAATTGTCTGGAATTAATTAATTAAATAGCACTTGATCAAATAGCATCAATTTTATTTCAATCTTTCATTTTTTGATACCTTGAGTAGGTCCTGATTTTTTGAAACATCATTTTAAGATTGTGTAGAGTCACAATTTTCAGTTACGTCATGTTATGCACGCACAAGTGTTTCAATCACTGTTGAAAGCGTAAAAACAAATATCTTATCAATAATCCAGTACCATGCGACGGTGAAATAACGATGCTTGACGTAAGTTGATAAAACTTTTGTCGATATCTGACAATTAGTTAGCAAGACAGGTATAAAAGAGTGGAATAAAAACATGAAATTTGCATATACATCTTGCATGTGCTAGTCCAAAAGGTGAATCATGTTGGCAAGCCATTCTGCTTTAATTGCTATCATTTTATTTTGTTGATTTTATGTACAATGCAAAGTCGAAAAAGTGTTATTTCAATGTGAATTGTCTAATTATTTTCAGAAATACTTTCTTCACTGTAAAATATGAATTTGAGAAGAAGCACAGCATTAAAACTAACTTTAATCACAATCGTACTGTCATATGCTTGTGGACAATGTGTTGCTAATGCTCAACCAGTTAACTCTGATGACGAAGATGCGCATTCGAAAGCTCAGAAACCCAATGTGAGTAATTACTATTCTAATATAATAAAAATAGAAGAGTTGGAATCGTAATATTTTGATAGTTAAGAATTATAAATTAATAATTTCATATTAACTTTGGGTAAGTTTACCGCAGTTACCGTTCACTTGAAAGTTTTTCTAATTCAGATGGTCTAATAAATAAAAAGGACGTCTATGTTATTAAAATCTATATTATTGCATTTTTCAAAACAAATAAATAATACAATAATTTCTCGCATGTTCAATATATTTCATAACTATTTTCTGCAATTATAAAGACATATTCGATACGTCAGTACCCCTTTATTATTTGACTGGAAAATTATAGTTGATTATCCACCCATTCTAATTATAATGATATTTTGTCCATAAGCACTTGACCAACCTTAATTAATTTTGGTGAGATATAGATCATAGATAGAACAACATTTTTGAGCTTATAATAAAAGGATACAGATGGAATGCACAAACACTTATCATCTACGTTTACAGTTCAGCATCTTAAAGAATCAAACACATTTAAGGCTTTTCATAACATTGAGAATGAAAATAATTTTTTAATAATAACCGTAATTTTATTAAAATTTGGTAGAATATTAAAAAGTAAGAAATAAATTATATAAATCGAGATAACTATCATGTGATAATAACAAATTCTGATAATATTTGCAATGCAACCGTTAAAAGTAACTTTTTAAGAAAAACGAAAAATAATATAATCACAATTTAGATTACATATTTGAAACAACTAAAATAAATGATTTTTTGATAGACACAAGGGATACTATGCGATGCAATAGATTTGGTTTCAATAGCGCCTAAATTTGTAAAAACTGTGTTGAAAACTAAGAACATTAAGGATATATTCTGTAATGAGAAAGCATTTACTCAATCACATCAGAAGCCCAATCACAACGGTAAGGAAATAAGACGCATATCTATCTCGAAAATTTTCTCATATATTATTTTGTGACACCTCTTGAAAATAAAAGAAATCATTTGGAAAATAAATACTACATTATATTTAAATATATTAAGTATAGGAAAGAATAATGTTTGTAAATAACTATACGATTATTATAATCGAATAATGGGGAACGAATAAGTGTTTAATACTTCACGAAAAAATGATGGAACTTCCTATTTTAACAAAAAATAATATTATTTACAGTATAATTTTATGAATAGAAAAAGTATTTATTCATTACCTTCGAATATATTTAATAAAAATTCATTACTGATGGTCTACAAAATTAACAGATAAATTGGAAAAAATACAGATAAATACAGTATTCTAATTGCAGGAAAACATATTGGCATTCCGCATTCTGAACCAGGAATCAATGTCAAAACTGATACAGTCCAAACTACAAATGCACCAATAATATCTACAAAAAAATATACTCCAGAAACAAAGTATCAAACAAAACCAACCTATAAACAATCTACATATGAACCAACAGATAAATCAAAAACCATAGTTAATGTAGCAGCCGCCAAGCCGACTACTACTGCGTACACATATCCTACACAGAAATCTTATAAGGACCACGAGTATGTGACTGGCGCTAAAACGGTCAGACCTACATATAAACCAATTTACAAACCAAAAACTACCAGTCACGCGGGTATAGTGGAAACGACCACCAAGGGGTATATGCATCACACACCAAAATTTTCAAACAAATTCGTGACCGAGGCTCAAACAGTGAATCCTATTTACAAGCCAACTCACAGGCCACAACCTACCGTTAAGAAGGAAACAGCCAAACCGACAAAGAGCAACTATACTCACCCTACTTACAAATCATGGCACGACTACGTAACCGAGACTCAAACGGCCAAGCCTACATACAAGCCAACTAATAGGCCACAACCTACCGTTAAAAAGGAAACAGCGAAACCAACAAAGAGTGACTACACTCATCCTACCTACAAATCATGGCACGACTACGTAACCGAGGCCCAAACGCTCAAGCCTACATACAAGTCAACTTATAGGCCACATCCTACTGTTAAAAAGGAAACAGCGAAACCAAAAAAGAGTGACTACACTCATCCTACCTACAAATCATGGCACGACTATGTAACCGAGGCTCAAACGGTCAAGCCTACATACAAACCGACTTACAAGCCACAAGCTACCATTGAAGTGAAAACAGTGAAACCGACAACGGCCGATTACACTTATCCTACTCACAAGTCATCGCACAAATATGTGACTGAGGATCAAACGGCCAAGCCTACCTACAAGCCGACTTACAAGCCACAAGCTACCTTTGAAGTGGAAACAGTGACACCGACAACGGCTGATTACACTCATCCTACACACAAGTCATCCCACGAATATGTGACTAAGGCTGAAACGGTCAAGCCTACTCACAAACCGACTTACAAGCCACAAGCTACCGTTGAAGTGGAATCTATGAAACCGACAACGGCTGATTACACCCATCCTACACAGAAGTCATCCCACGAATATGTGGCGGAGGCTGAAACGGTCAAGCCCACCTACAAGCCGACTTACAAGCCACAAGCTACCGTTGAAGTGGACGAAGTGAAACCGACAACGGCTGATTACACTCATCCTACACAGAAGTCATCCCACGAATATGTGGCGGAGGCTGAAACGGTCAAGCCCACCTACAAGCCGACTTACAAGCCACAAGCTACCGTTGAAGTGGACGAAGTGAAACCGACAACAGCTGATTACACTCATCCTACACAGAAGTCATCCCACGAATATGTGACTGAGGCTGAAACGGTCAAGCCTACTCACAAACCGACTTACAAGCCACAAGCTACCGTTGAAGTGGAATCTATGAAACCAACAACGGCTGATTACGCTCATCCTACACACAAGTCATCCCACGAATATGTGACTGAGGATCAAACGGTCAAGCCTACTCACAAACCGACTTACAAGCCACAAGCTACCGTCGAAGTGAAATCAGTGAAACCGACAACAGCTGATTACACTCATCCTACACACAAGTCATGGCACGAATATGTGACTGAGGCTCAAACTGTCAAGCCCACCTACAAGCCGACTTACAAGCCACAAGCTACCGTTGAAGTGGACGAAGTGAAACCGACAACGGCTGATTACACTCATCCTACACACAAGTCATCCCACGAATATGTGACTGAGGCTCAAACTGGCAAGCCCACCTACAAGCCGACTTACAAGCCACAAGTTACCGTTGAAGTGGACGAAGTGAAACCGACAACAGCTGATTACACTCATCCTACACACAAGTCATCCCACGAATATGTGCCTGAGGCTCAAACGGTCAAGCCTACCTACAAGCAAACTTTCAAGCCAGAAGCTACCGTTGAAGTGAAAACAGTGAAACCAACAACGGCCGACTACGCTCATCCTACACACAAGTCTTCCCACGAATATGTACCTGAGGCTCAAACGGTCAAGCCTACCTACAAGCAAACTTACAAGCCAGAAGCTACCGTTGAAGTTGAAACAGTGAAACCAACAACGGCCGATTACAATCATCCTACACACAAGTCTTCCCACGAATATGTGACTGAGGATCAAACGGTCAAGCCCACCTACAAGCCGACTTACAAGCCACAAGCTACCTTTGAAGTGGAAACAGTGAAACCAACAACGACCGACTACGCTCATCCTACACACAAGTCATCGCACGAATATGTGACTGAGGCTCAAACGGTCAAGCCTACCTACAAGCAAACTTACAAGCCAGAAGCTACCGTTGAAGAGGAAACAGTGAAATCAACAACGGCCGACTACGCTCATCCTACTCACAAGTCATCCCACGAATATGTGACTGAGGCTCAAACGGTCGAACCTACCTACAAGCCGAATTACAAGCCACAAGCTACCGTTGAAGTGGAATCAGTGAAACCGACAACGGCTGATTACACTTATCCTACACACAAGTCATCGCACGAATATGTGACTGAAGCTCAAACTGTCAAGCCCACCTACAAGCCGACTTACAAGCCACAAGTTACCGTTGAAGTGGACGAAGTGAAAACGACAACGGCTGATTACACTCATCCTACACAAAAGTCATCCCACGAATATGTGACTAAGGCTGAAACGGTCAAGCCTACTCACAAACCGACTTACAAGCCACAAGCTACCGTTGAAGTGGAATCTATGAAACCGACAACGGCTGATTACACTCATCCTACACACAAGTCATCCCACGAATATGTGACTGAGGCTCAAACTGTCAAGCCTACTCACAAACCGACTTACAAGCCACAAGCTACCGTTGAAGTGGAATCTATGAAACCGACAAGGGCTGATTACACTCATCCTACACACAAGTCATCCCACGAATATGTGACTGAGGCTCAAACGGTCAAGCCTACCTACAAGCAAACTTACAAGCCAGAAGCTACCGTTGAAGAGGAAACAGTGAAATCAACAACGGCCGACTACGCTCATCCTACTCACAAGTCATCCCACGAATATGTGACTGAGGCTCAAACGGTCGAACCTACCTACAAGCCGAATTACAAGCCACAAGCTACCGTTGAAGTGGAATCAGTGAAACCGACAACGGCTGATTACACTTATCCTACACACAAGTCATCCCACGAATATGTGACTGAGGCTCAAACTGTCAAGCGTACTCACAAACCGACTTACAAGCCACAAGCTACCGTTGAAGTGGAATCTATGAAACCGACAAGGGCTGATTACACTCATCCTACACACAAGTCATCCCACGAATATGTGACTGAGGCTCAAACTGTCAAGCCCACCTACAAGCCGACTTACAAGCCACAAGCTACCGTTGAAGTGAAATCAGTGAAACCGACAACGGCTGATTACACTCATCCTACACACAAGTCATCCCACGAATATGTGACTGAGGCTCAAACTGTCAAGCCTACTCACAAACCGACTTACAAGCCACAAGCTACCGTTGAAGTGGAATCTATGAAACCGACAAGGGCTGATTACACTCATCCTACACACAAGTCATCCCACGAATATGTGCCTGAGGCTCAAACGGTCAAGCCTACCTACAAGCAAACTTACAAGCCAGAAGTTACCGTGGAAGTGGAAACAGTGAAACCGACAACGGCCGATTACACTCATCCTACACACAAGTCATCCCACGAATATGTGACTGAGGCTGAAACGGTCAAGCCTACTCACGAACCTACCTACAAGCCACAAGCTACCGTTGAAGTGGAATCAGTGAAACCGACAACGGCTGATTACACTCATCCTACACACAAGTCATGGCACGAATATGTGACTGAGGCTGAAACGGTCAAGCCTACTCACGAACCTACCTACAAGCCACAAGCTACCGATGAAGTGGAATCAGTGAAACCGACAACGGCTGATTACACTCATCCTACACACAAGTCATCCCACGAATATGTGACTCAGGCTCAAACGGTCAAGCCTACTCACAAACCGACTTACAAGCCACAAGCTACCGTTGACGTGAAATCAGTGAAACCGACAACAGCTGATTACACTCATCCTACACAGAAGTCATCCCACCAATATGTAACTGAGGCTGAAACGGTCAAGCCTACTCACGAACCTACCTACAAGCCACAAGCTACCGTTGAAGTGGAATCAGTGAAACCGACAACGGCTGATTACATTCATCCTACACACAAGTCATCCCACGAATATGTGACTGAGGCTCAAACGGTCAAGCCTACTCACCAACCGACTTACAAGACAGAAGCTACCGTGGAAGTGAAATCAGTGAAACCGACAACAGCTGATTACACTCATCCTACACACAAGTCATGGCACGAATATGTGACTGAGGCTCAAACGGTCGAACCTACCTACAAGCCGACTTACAAGCCACAAGTTACCGTTGAAGTGGACGAAGTGAAACCGACAACGGCTGATTACACTTATCCTACACACAAGTCATCGCACGAATATGTGACTGAGGCTCAAACGGTGGAACCTACCTACAAGCCGACTTACAAGCCACAAGTTACCGTTGAAGTGGACGAAGTGAAACCGACAACGGCTGATTACACTTATCCTACACACAAGTCATCGCACGAATATGTGACTGAGGCTCAAACGGTGGAACCTACCTACAAGCCGACTTACAAGCCACAAGCTACCTTTGAAGTGGAAACAGTGACACCGACAACGGCTGATTACACTCATCCTACACACAAGTCATCCCACGAATATGTGACTAAGGCTGAAACGGTCAAGCCTACTCACAAACCGACTTACAAGCCACAAGCTACCGTTGAAGTGGAATCTATGAAACCGACAACGGCTGATTACACCCATCCTACACAGAAGTCATCCCACGAATATGTGGCGGAGGCTGAAACGGTCAAGCCCACCTACAAGCCGACTTACAAGCCACAAGCTACCGTTGAAGTGGACGAAGTGAAACCGACAACGGCTGATTACACTCATCCTACACAGAAGTCATCCCACGAATATGTGGCGGAGGCTGAAACGGTCAAGCCCACCTACAAGCCGACTTACAAGCCACAAGCTACCGTTGAAGTGGACGAAGTGAAACCGACAACAGCTGATTACACTCATCCTACACAGAAGTCATCCCACGAATATGTGACTGAGGCTGAAACGGTCAAGCCTACTCACAAACCGACTTACAAGCCACAAGCTACCGTTGAAGTGGAATCTATGAAACCAACAACGGCTGATTACGCTCATCCTACACACAAGTCATCCCACGAATATGTGACTGAGGATCAAACGGTCAAGCCTACTCACAAACCGACTTACAAGCCACAAGCTACCGTCGAAGTGAAATCAGTGAAACCGACAACAGCTGATTACACTCATCCTACACACAAGTCATGGCACGAATATGTGACTGAGGCTCAAACTGTCAAGCCCACCTACAAGCCGACTTACAAGCCACAAGCTACCGTTGAAGTGGACGAAGTGAAACCGACAACGGCTGATTACACTCATCCTACACACAAGTCATCCCACGAATATGTGACTGAGGCTCAAACTGGCAAGCCCACCTACAAGCCGACTTACAAGCCACAAGTTACCGTTGAAGTGGACGAAGTGAAACCGACAACAGCTGATTACACTCATCCTACACAGAAGTCATCCCACGAATATGTGACTGAGGCTGAAACGGTCAAGCCTACTCACAAACCGACTTACAAGCCACAAGCTACCGTTGAAGTGGAATCTATGAAACCGACAACGGCTGATTACGCTCATCCTACACACAAGTCATCCCACGAATATGTGACTGAGGCTGAACCGGTTAAGCCTACTCACGAACCTACCTACAAGCCACAAGCTACCGTTGAAGTGGAATCAGTGAAACCGACAACAGCTGATTACACTCATCCTACACACAAGTCATGGCACGAATATGTGACTGAGGCTCAAACGGTCGAACCTACCTACAAGCCGACTTACAAGCCACAAGTTACCGTTGAAGTGGACGAAGTGAAACCGACAACGGCTGATTACAGTTATCCTACACACAAGTCATCGCACGAATATGTGACTGAGGCTCAAACGGTGGAACCTACCTACAAGCCGACTTACAAGCCACAAGCTACCTTTGAAGTGGAAACAGTGACACCGACAACGGCTGATTACACTCATCCTACACACAAGTCATCCCACGAATATGTGACTGAGGCTGCAACGGTCAAACCTACTCACAAACCGACTTATAAGCCACAAGCTACCGTTGAAGTGGAATCTATGAAACCGACAACGGCTGATTACACTCATCCTACACACAAGTCATCCCACGAATATGTGACTGAGGATCAAACGGTCAAGCCTACTCACAAACCGACTTACAAGCCACAAGCTACCGTCGAAGTGAAATCAGTGAAACCGACAACAGCTGATTACACTCATCCTACACACAAGTCATGGCACGAATATGTGACTGAGGCTCAAACTGTCAAGCCCACCTACAAGCCGACTTACAAGCCACAAGCTACCGTTGAAGTGGACGAAGTGAAACCGACAACGGCTGATTACACTCATCCTACACACAAGTCATCCCACGAATATGTGACTGAGGCTCAAACTGGCAAGCCCACCTACAAGCCGACTTACAAGCCACAAGTTACCGTTGAAGTGGACGAAGTGAAACCGACAACAGCTGATTACACTCATCCTACACAGAAGTCATCCCACGAATATGTGACTGAGGCTGAAACGGTCAAGCCTACTCACGAACCTACCTACAAGCCACAAGCTACCGTTGAAGTGGAATCAGTGAAACCGACAACAGCTGATTACACTCATCCTACACACAAGTCATGGCACGAATATGTGACTGAGGCTCAAACGGTCGAACCTACCTACAAGCCGACTTACAAGCCACAAGTTACCGTTGAAGTGGACGAAGTGAAACCGACAACGGCTGATTACACTTATCCTACACACAAGTCATCGCACGAATATGTGACTGAGGCTCAAACGGTGGAACCTACCTACAAGCCGACTTACAAGCCACAAGCTACCTTTGAAGTGGAAACAGTGACACCGACAACGGCTGATTACACTCATCCTACACACAAGTCATCCCACGAATATGTGACTGAGGCTGCAACGGTCAAACCTACTCACAAACCGACTTACAAGCCACAAGCTACCGTTGAAGTGGAATCTATGAAACCGACAACGGCTGATTACACTTATCCTACACACAAGTCATCCCACGAATATGTGACTGAGGCTGAAACGGTCAAGCCTACTCACAAACCGACTTACAAGCCACAAGCTACCGTTGAAGTGAAATCAGTGAAACCGACAACAGCTGATTACACTCATCCTACACAGAAGTCATCCCACGAATATGTGACTGAGGCTGAACCGGTTAAGCCTACTCACGAACCTACCTACAAGCCACAAGCTACTGTTGAAGTGGAATCAGTGAAACCGACAACGGCTGATTACACTCATCCTACACACAAGTCATCCCACGAATATGTGACTGAGGCTCAAACGGTCAAGCCTACTCACCAACCGACTTACAAGACAGAAGCTACCGTGGAAGTGAAATCAGTGAAACCGACAACGGCCGATTACACTCATCCTACACACAAGTCATCCCACGAATATGTGACTGAGGCTGAAACGGTCAAGCCTACTCACGAACCTACCTACAAGCCACAAGCTACCGTTGAAGTGGAATCAGTGAAACCGACAATGGCTGATTACACTCATCCTACACACAAGTCATGGCACGAATATGTGACTGAGGCTGAAACGGTCGAACCTATTTACATGCCGACTTACAAGCCACAAGCTACCGTTGAAGTGGAATCAGTGAAACCGACAACGGCTGATTACACTTATCCTACACACAAGTCATCCCACGAATATGTGACTGAGGCTCAAACTGTCAAGCCGACTCACAAACCGACTTACAAGCCACAAGCTACCGTGGAAGGTGAATCAGTGAAACCGACAACAGCTGATTACACTCATCCTACACACAAGTCATCCCACGAATATGTGACTGAGTCTCAAACGGTCAAGCCTACCTACAAGCCGACTTACAAGCCACACAATACCGTTCACCCGGAGGAAGTGAAACCAACCACAAGCGCATATACGCACCCTACTCAGAAATCTTCTAAGGAATACGTCACCGTTGCTGTTCCAATGAAGCCTACGTACAACCCAACTTCTAAACCACAAACTACCGTTCACCCGGAGAAAGTTAAGCCGACCACGAGCGCGTATATCGATCTGACTCCGAAATCTACTAAGGAATACGATACTGATGTTAATCCGATGAAGCCTACGTATAACCCAACTTACACACCACATACTACTGTTCACGCGGAAAAACTGAAACCAACCACAAGCGCCTATACGCACCCTACTCAGAAATCGTCTAAGGAATACATCACCGACGCTGCTCCTATGAAGCCTACATACGGCTCAACTTACAAACCACATACTACTGTTCACCCGGAAAAATTGAAGCCGACTACGAGCGCATATACTGATCTGACTCAGAAATCTACTAAGGAATACGGTACTGATGTTAATCCTATGAAGCCTACGTATAACCCAACTTACACACCACATACTACTGTTCACGCGGAAAAACTGAAACCAACCACAAGCGCCTATACGCACCCTACTCAGAAATCACCTAAGGAATACATCACCGACGCTGCTCCTATGAAGCCTACGTATAACCCAACTTACACACCACATACTACTGTTCACGCGGAAAAACTGAAACCAACCACAAGCGCCTATACGCACGCTACTCAGAAATCATCTAAGGAATACATCACCGACGCTGCTCCTATAAAGCCTACATATAAGCCAACTTACAAACCAGAAACTACCGTTGGAGCGAAAACGACGAAACCGGGTTCTCATTCAGATAAATGTAAGTTCCTACAGTTGATTACGTCTTGACCTTTGGTTTTTTATTGATAGTAAAGTATAAATTGCCAGGCTATATAATTAGATGATTTTATACTTTTTTTGTAGAATGTTTTGCTTATTCCGATTTTTTGTTAATTTATGATGAGCAGTATATTTTTCCTTCATATACATTTTAATATTTTTTGTAATGTCTGTGTTTTTTACTTTAATATTTATTTGCAGGTAAATTCGTCGCTGGCGTTCAGATTTGTACGAATAAGGCTGTATTTGAAGATATTATAGAATTTGTTTCGTAATGATGTGACTTCCGAGTTAATGCTTATTGATTTATTTGTATTTGCCATTATTTCTTGAGTTGCTGTACATATTTTTAATGGTAATTCATTTGTTTGTTATGTTCCATTAATAAACTTTTTATTCTTTTTCACATTTTGAAAACTGTATTTTTTTCTTGACCAGAATAAAAAATCGCATAATTCCCATTTCTTCGAAATATGTATTTCTATTACAATAATAGACTGTATGTTATGTTACCTCTCATTAATTTCAAATTAATGATATGAATTTATTCTTGTTGATAAGGTCTCTGAAAATTTTTATTTATTGAGTAAACTTCTTCAAAGTTTGATGTATAATATTTGGCTATTGCATAGAATATTATTAAAATTATTATCATCCACCTAAAGATGAAATAATTTTAGATAACTGGCTATATATGATATATACTATTATAGATAATCGACAGTTATGGTTAGTTTATTTTCATAATGTTAATTAGGATTTAGCAACTCTTTGAAATGTTTCATTTATAAATCTCCAAAAGTTATAATTCTTTTTATAAATTTTCGAACATATTTCGAGAAAGATATATCGATATTCATATATTTAATAATAAGAACATTAATGTTGTTATGTATAACTACTCAAATACGTACATTAAATAATATTTAACTTTACTAACATGTCCATTACATACAAAAATGAAGATATCATTAGAACAACATTTGTTTATGTAAGAAGATGCAGGGACACAGACACATACACACACATGCACACGTACAGTTATTTAAAATCACATCATGCTGCAGATTAAAAAATGTTAACTAATAAATGTTCCAATGATTATATCGATAGTCTAGAAGTACTATCAATGATATTTGATAAATAGATTGACTAAAATTAAATTGGATCATCTTCTGTTTTTAAATCTTAATCTGCTTACTTTAAGATATGAATCCTTAATCTAAGAGTTTGGAACAAATTGATGTGCAGAATATAAATTATGAATCAATTAATTACATTAAAAAAAATATATATGTGAAATTCTCAGAAACGTGGCAAATCAGTAATTGTAGTTAATATAATTAAAACTAAATAATTAATTAAATTTTATTAAGTTTAAATATAAAATCAATTTATTGAAATATTATATATATAGGTGCTTCGATATGTAGTAAAACTCTAGCACCGAAGAATATTAATTTTTTACGCAACTTTTGATAATAAAATGAAAATTTTTCATGTAAATGATTTAACGTAGTGTACTTTCGCTCTATCTCGATAAACTTTATATAATTTACTTAATTCATATATAGAAAGAATGTATGGTGTTTCAAAGCATCGCCATCCTTTGTAAAAAAAATAGAATTCGTCCATAACATTCTCATATGCCTATTAATAATTTAAGTTAATTGCTGTACGAAGAAATAAGATAAAATGCAACAAGAGATCATTAAAAATATATCTATATATATAAACAAAAAAAGTTATATAAATACGGGGTTGAGGGGCGTCAAGGGGACCAAGGCGACCTTAACATAGGCGCGGCCCTGGCGAGCGAGTGTGCGCGGGAGCGTTAGGGTGGTCTCCCAGCCTTTCTCTCTCGCTGGCCCCCCTCAACGCCGTAACGTACAGCCAGACGATCAACAGTCGCGTTCTTCGTTGATCATCCGGACGAACGCGTCTCTTGTCTCTCTTGAATCATCTTTTGTTTCGACGAGTTACTATCTTCATTAGTGTTCATTAATAAATCGTATAATAAAATCTTAAAATCGTGTGTTTGTGTTTTGTCTAATTTACAGTATATATTGTTGTTTGACTTTAATCACCACTACAACTGAAACTCACTTTACTTAAAAAATTAGTCTGAAAACTTTAGTACCGTTATTTTTTACTAAGAAATATTCGTGGATGCGGAATTGACTGGTATTGAAGCTGCCGCCAGATCAGCGACCACCTGTAGTTGCAGCCACCCTCTACCCGCATTCTTAGCTGAGTCATCGTATTCCGCGCATAGCTGACTTTGACTATAATTTCTCGGTTTATTACGAGAGATTGAATTAATAAAGCGTCTTCCTTATTTCATATTTTGCCGCTTGAAGTTTTAATAGCTATTTCAACGAAAATGAAGACCTCATCGTTTTCACTCCGTGTTATGCGAAGGGTAAGCTTATATTTATTACTGTGAAATTTCTAGAATAAATTTTTTTTATATGACATGAAGAAATACAAACAAAGTATGCATAAGTATTCCTTAAGAAAAGAATCTGACGTATTATTTATTTTTTCCTCCTGTTTGTCCTCCGTTGAAACTTAATCTTTGTAAGACAGCATTCACGTTAAGCAAAGCTTCAATTGACGCTGCAAATGTACACGATTAAATATACCATCCAATGCATTTTATTAAACTTTCTCTTAAATTTCAATACGCGTAATAAAAGTACAAATAAATTTTCAAATTTATGAAAGCTTTGAGGAAATATTTTTCAAGGTAAAAGTTCTCCCACCAATTCATTTTTTACGAATTTATATAAATATAAGATAAACGCCAGATGTCATAGCTGATATTTCGAAAGTATGCAATCACAGTAAACGTTTCTTTAAATTCCAAAGTAATTAAATAAAATTACATTACTGAAAGTTAATCCTACGTCATTATGCAAGTATTAACAAGTATAAAATATAAATCATTTGTCCTCCAAATATTGTTATTTGCATGTAAGAGATTAATTAAAAATTTTATCGTGTATTGAAATGACAAGTATGTTAGAGGGCATCTCGATGTCATAAAACTATCTAGGAGCCCAAACTACCTTTGGCCATTAATTGCGTCGTGTTCACGAGTATGAGAGTAGTGCTGACACTAGAACTTGACAAAACGAAGGAGATCGGGTATAGTATACGCGATGGCAATGACGAGGCAATATAGAGGTTCGTTCGTGTAGTCGCGCGATCTACCTTCACCATGCCTGTACGTGCCAGGCTTACAGGTTATTCAATGGGTGGCTCAGCAGCCTACGCACGTCCCAGCTTTTCTTTTCCAATACCCCCAGTGGTGAGATCCAATAGCATAGACAGTCAAATCACCATCAAACATGAATATTGGACGCCTCGATGAAAAGTACTTTTATATGACAGTTGTTTTTTCTTATTTTCTGTCGTTTTTTTTTACTGATAAACTATTAAACAATCTGTAGAACAAGGAGACAGACATTAAAAATCTGTTTGCTAAAGTATGTAGTCACTAATATCATACTTTTATCTGACCACTATCGATTCTTTCTACTTACACGTGTGAACGCCATATCATCTACACCAAGATATGGGTTGTTACTGTTTATTTTTGATTGTGAAATTTATGCTCGATAAATGACAATGTTGTAAATGCTTTTTCAAAAAGATTTAAAAATAACGCATAAATCATTGAACAGTGCACAAAAGCCGTCACCTGTGTATCAATAAAAATAAAAGGAAGAACACCAACACTCATATAGGTACACACTCACACACACTAACAATTTTGATCTATAAACCTAACGACCAGAAAGATCTTTCGCAATCATCATGCTTCCTATACCCTTGAACAAACACCGAGACGCGTGTGTGAGAGAAAGAGAGAAAGAAAGAGAGAGAGAAAGATGAAACATACGATGAAACATAAATTGCGAGAGCGATGCGAGAGATACACACGTCGGGTTAGCCCCTATCTCTTTGTATGAAGCGCCAATGAAAAGCCTAGTGCAGTATCTGCAGCGAATCCATCAAAATTTCCTTCCGTCTATGAATTTAAATTCATGGGCGATGCACGAGACTTGAATGAACGTGGTTGTGTGAACGTCATATCCTTCCGGATAATTATAATCGAGCTTCCGCGTGATTACCGCGAGCTTAGTTTATATAAGGAAAGAAGGTCGACCCATAACAGCTTCAACAGTTCTTTTGCTGCTTATACTTACTTTTTCCTCTGTGTTTTTGTAAATTTCGTTTCAACGAAGAAAAGCTATAGGAGTTACAATGTCTGCACATATGAGTTTTGCCTTCCGCAGTATTTACTAACGAGGGCTCAGAGTTTGCTGATAGCGTGTCGGTCAAGGTAACCGTTTGCTTTTATCGTAGTCGAAATAAATCTTGATATGATTTTATGGGCTGGTCGTTTCTTCTTTTAAGAAGAATTAATGTTATATCAGTTTAGTTGTAGGCTATATTTCAATGCATTATTTATTGAATATTTTAATTTTTCATGTAATGCGTATATTTTTCAAATATCATATAATAACATTAATTTTTTTATTTGAATCTGTAATGTATAATATTAAATTTTTCAGTTTCATTTATTTTCTTATTAATTCCTTTCGCTTTTTTCGATTTTTTCTTTATCGCAATCAATGAAGTTATACAAAAAATAATACATCTGATAAACCTCTCATAGAATTCCAATCTAACGCGTAAAATAGGGATGACACATTAAAATTATTATAGGTTCTTAAAATTGATAACTACTAGAAAAAAGCTATGATAAAAATGGTCATGATCTATAAAAACTGCACTTAAGCAATATTATATTAAAGGAAAAATTTTTAGCATTTTATACCTTAGTGACGGCAACATTCACCGCTCGAAGTTATTTCTGTAAAGTAGCTTTTTCTACTTCGGCAACATACTTTAAACCATAAAAAAGTATACTCAGCCTCTCTCACTTATACAACATGCATTTTAGTTTCCTATAAGAAAATAAGTTTTCCACGTAACTTTTTTATTTTATATTTAGAAGTTAATCTTCTATTACAGCTTTTATTCAGCTTGTAACTCGAATCTTAGTATTAGTATTCATGTCCGTTCAAAAAAATCAGAAAACTGAAACTAACCCCTTTCGTATATATCTCATGCGTGTGAATGGGTTGGCGTTAGGAAACTACAATTGTACCTTAATGAAAGAGAACTTTTCTCATTCCAAGGGAATTTCTGAAATAACAGAACTCCTACTCCATTAGATGTCTTCATTTTCGTCACTGGCGTTTACGTCGGTACAAAATTCGTACGCGTAAACTTTTTCTTGATGAAATATGTCCGTACACGTCGTCATAGAAACATCTAACATTAAATTAGATTTTCGCGAATAAACTAAAATAAATCAATAATACATTTTTTCTTAGCAGCCCGATATGTCGAAATGTTATATTTATCACAAAGTATCATTCAAGCTTAGGAATTCGTGAACAAGACAAAGTGTGACTGGTAGCCTAAGAGGAAAACCAAACTGAATATGTTAATTCAGATCTCGCAAGATGGAAGAGCAGAAAAGATTTATGAATGTCACCCTTCACAAATTGAATTTCCGGCATTGACGAAAATTCATTATAAAAATCCGGGATTGATAACATCTTTGTATTAAAACGAATAAAAAAAATCTAATAAAATCAAGTATTAATTAAACTTATCACATCTCGATTATTGAATAAGACTAATCAGCTTTTAATCCTTATTTTTCTCAAATTTGTAATGAACCAATAATCTCTTGTTCATAATATTCAATTAGTTAGAAAACCATTGATCTCAATAAAGTGCAAAATCAAACAGTGCACCAACGAGTCTAATTTTTCAAAGTCAACCTGATGTCAATAGCAATAAGGATTTCCATCCTACGTACGTGCAAGAAAGCTAAAACTATCGTCTTCCTCTATTTTCTACATTTTCTGCAGTTTCTAAAAACTTCGTGACGTCGCAGTCTGACTCCAATTTATGTTAGTCGTGCAAATGCTCCTCTGTAATGCAGACATATGCATGCCAAGCGAACAACCGAAGCAGGTGAAAATCCATTTATCTTGGTTGTCACCTGGTAGGAAGGTACAAAATGAGTTACTATGAATCGATAATCTCACGCTCGTACGTGCACGGTAAAATGTATGCAGAATAACTTCGTTTAAATGAATATTATTTTCGTTATTGACAGACAATTGTAAATTATTGTATTTAAATTTGTCGTGATCAATTCATTATTTATTAGCTAAAATGGATTTGATATTAATTTATTTAAGTAATTGTGGTGAAACCATTCGCAAGTAGATAAAAATAAATTGATCGAGCTACGATTAAATATAGCGGAACTTCCACTTGAAAAGCGTATTAAAACTTCTCTCTATCAAAAGTAACAAGTTCCATCATAAGACGAAAAGTTTTATCATTAAAAGTACTTATAAGAAAATACACATCGACGTAGAATAGTTTGGGCGCTAAAATTACAGACATATTTTTATCTTATTATAAAGAGATTGAAATGATTTTCCAATATTTGTTTCTAAAAGAATTAGCATTATTACGCGCATCGAGTACATGTATGAAAGATATTAACTGACATAATCATATCGTAATATTACAGCTATTTATATAACACAGAGCCTATAAAAAATTATAAAATGTTGATAAAAAAAGTACAATACATGTATTTTACTTCTCAAGGATTTATAGATACATAATATTAAAGAATAATCATTGTATCAAGATTAGCCAAATTAGGGAATTCAAATAATATTCAAATCTGAATTCGAGAAAAAAACATTTCATGACAAATTCTTCCTAGAAGTTCTCGGGTTTATGTACAATTTGTTACTTCTATATAATTATGATCAGCAGAAAACTGCGACGACAAAGTTTCTCCAGCAGCGAAAAGAACCCGTTAAAGAACGGAGGTAAGAAAAAATGTGAGAGAGAAAAAAGTTTATATGCCTCTGGCTAACCAAAAACCTCATTTTTCTTGGCGGAACAGAAGCACATAATGAGGTAGCTTACTGGAGACAGCGAAAAGTGGCTTCTTGTCGGCGTACACGTGCCACACGTGGCAATTGTCTCGCTCTGAAGGACTCTCGAGTGAGAGAAGATACCCGCAGCCACGCGCGAGTCCTTTTACCCAACGTTGTTACATTAACTCACGGGAAAGAACAAAGTCTTCCTTTTAATTTTATTTTTGTCTTTCTATCTCTCTTCCTTTTTCTTGTTTTATGTTTGTAATACAAATACGCTTTATTATTGTTGAGTAAATAAGATGCTCGCGTTGCTATGTACTACTTCGTTGGCGATGTTCTAGAAAACAGTTTACATCTAATTTAGAGGATTTCTTCTGAATGTTGTTTTTAGGATTTTATTATTGTACTTTGGGTATTAAAAACT